GTGCCTGGTTGGGCCAGGTGGGTGGGACCCCTGCTGGGGCCAGGGTGACGATGTATTGCTCAGTTTTGGGTTCTGTGTGGTGGCACCTCCATGGTGAATGAGCTCTAGAACAGCCCTCGGTGGTCTGTTTCTTGCCTGCCCTCCTTTCAGGCTTTAACTGTTCCCCATGACGATCTCAAGGTCGATTTTGCCCACACCTATCTCCTCTCCAGTCTGCCTAATGCCAGCCCAGCTCCAACAGGCTCTCACCTCCCGTGCCTCAGGACGCTCTCTCCCTCCCGCATTCTTGCTTCCTGCCGCCCTCTGGTTCTGCCCATCTGCGGGTACATGGCAGTCACTTTTATCTAAACAGTTCCCCTTAGAAAGGAACCACCTCCAACCTCCTGCCGAGCTTCCCTTAGCTCTCCCCTCCTCCCCTGCCAAGGCTCTTTCTAGGAACCCCGGTGTCCTTCTGTCTCTTCTCAGGTTGGTCCTTGTCCCTGTTGTCCTATCAGCAGCCTTTGGTAGCACTGCCTGTCATTCCTCACAAAGCATTCCTTCCAGGCTCTAGGACTCTGCACATAACTCCCCTCCTGTTTCTTCAAGACTCCTTCCTGAGAGAGTGGCACCTCTCCTGTCTCTTTTCCTCTCCCTCCTCAGTGGTCCTTGTCTGTCTTGTGTCTCTAAGTGCCCGTAGAACCCCCCTGCCAAGGCCCCAGCAGTTTAGTGTCTAGAACTCCAGATGAGGTGTCCAGTGCCTACTGCTTGGGCTCTTATCCACCCAGACTCAGGACTGAGACCCTGCCCACTGGAGTGCTCCCAGGGCTCAGGCTAAGACCCTCCAGTACCTGATTTCTCTCCTCCTCTTTCTGATATCCACATCCTTTCTGTCCACAGACCTGCTGGAATGTATCTGACTATCTCTGCCACTGTCCCTTCTGGTGGTAACATTAGTCCCCTTCTGGTGGTAACATTAGTCCCCTACTGATCTGTTGCCTCTCCCTCCCCTGTCTCAGCACTGGGTCCAGGGTGATTCTGGGAAACGGGATCATTCATGTCATCCTTGTGCTCAGAACTCTCCTGTCACACGCACACCTCCACACATACATTAAGAAACTGGGGTACCGGCATCTGCTGCACGGTGGCTGAGGCCTCCAGTGGGAAGACCTAAGCAGCCAAACTGGGGGCTGGAGTCATCTGGAGATTTCCTCACCCTTGTCTGGTTCCTTGGCTAGTGTGATGCACAGGCTGGCTCAGCCAGGACTGTCCATTGGATTGTCCCTCCTGGCTTCTTCCTGTAGTTTTGGCTCTAGGATAGCTACTTCATGTGCCCACGCTTTTTATGTGGCTGCTTGGTGCTCTGGGGACAGCCTGTCAGAAACCACATAGCCCTCTGTGATGCAGCCAGGGAAGGCACACAGTGTCACCTTCCTGTGCTTTGTGGGCACTCAAAACCTGCCCAGATCAAGGGGAGGGGACCTGGGTCCCACCACCAGGGGCAGGAGTATCAAGCAGTTCAAGACCAGGCTCACAGTCTCCTGAGGACCTTCGTCACCTGGTGCCGGTTACTGTAGGTACATAATCTTTTACCTCAATTTAAGGATGAAGATGAATTCCTGTGCTCCTGACCTAGTAGATCAGTACTAAGTTACTGCGCTGCTCTGCAGAACCTGGAGCCAAGATGGGACCTGCGAGGCTGCTGCCCTCCTGTGTTCCCACAGATTACTTTTGGAGACTCAACTTCCCTGATGGCTGAATCCCAGAGGCTGGGTCCTGGGAGTGAGCCAACCACCCTGCATGGTCTGGAGGTGCAGGCCATGTGGCATCTCTGGCAGGTTCTGGGGGAGGGGCTTTGCCTGCTGCTGCTTTGTAGGAAGTGTGTGCGGGTGAGTGGCACTGCTGACTGCTTGCTGCCTCCCATCCCACCCACAGGTCTTCTCCTGGCTCTCTGAACCTGCTCCGCCCTCTGCACTTGACCCTTGCCCACAGCCTTGTTCCTCACACACTGAGCAACTTACCTCCCTTTACCTGCAGGTTTATCCTCACAGACTGTCATTGCAGATGTCTGTCTGTCTTGGTTACTTTTCTCTCGTTGCTGGGACAAAATACCTGATGCCCAAAATTAAGGAAGGAAAGGTTTATTTCGCTTACAGTTTGTGGAGGTTTTAGTCCATACTTGGTAGGTTACAAGGCAGACTGGCACATGGCAGAGGGCTACAGCTCATGGCGGCAGAACACAGCAAAAGCAACAAGCACAAAAGGGAGGAATGGCAGCAAGCAGCCTCTTCCTCTCCCTTACATATGCAAAACTGTCCACCCCAGGGGGGGTGTAGCTCTCACACCCATAATCAATGAAACTCTGAAAGCCTGCCCCACGACTGCATGAGGCTTTGAGGGGACACCCAGACACAAACCATAACACTGTCCCTCCTGTGCTTTGGTAGACACACTGTGTAGTTTGGTATTATTCATTTCTTCTCTCTTCACTAAGACACAAGCCCTGGAGAGGCAGCCATTTGGTCTACTCTGGTTGATGCTCCATTCTACTGCAGAGGGTGCCCAGCCCCAGGATCCAGGGTGTGTTTTGGAGTGGGTGGAGGGGTGGAAGGCCGGGTGGACAGGTGAGTAAGTGAGCATGTTGGGACTCCATAGAGGACAGTGTTTTTAATAAGTCTCTGCTATCATTGTTTACATGTATCTCCTCATCCTGTACAGAGGCCGCACAAGAATGAGCACTGAGATATCCTGATTTTTATCAAGAATTAAGTAGAAGCTCAGAGAAGTCCCCTCACCTGGCTCTGGTCACACAGCTTGTTGTCACACCAGACTCTAACCCAGGTGGCCTGATTGTAGAACAGACCTGTCCCGGCTGAGGTGCTTTCAGCTGCCTCTCAACCCATCATAAGGACAATGTAATTAGGGCCATCCAGATCCAAGAATACAGAATATATGAGGCCCAGCTGCCCAGGAGCCAGTGATTTGACCACTAATATGTGCTCTCTGGAGGCCTGGAGCCCTCCTGTATCTCCCAGAGTCCCTACTCTGTCTCCCCAGGGTTCCACTCTGTCTTTCTGGAGTTCCCTTGTTTTCCTGGGGTCCCCACTCTGTCTTCCAGGGGGTCTCTGCTCTGTCTCCTGGGGTGAGCAGTGCCTGCTCTGTTTCCCTGAGCCTGAGGGTGAATGAATGAATCACATTCCCTGAGCCACTGCTGGTATATTGCAATCCCCACTGAGCACTGTCCAGCCACTGAGCTGGCAGCAAGTGGTCACTCTGTCCCCAGCTGGCTGGGGCTACTGTGCACTTCCACGTCTACACTAAGTCTGGCTCATCTGCTAGAGCTCCTGAGCAATTGTCACCTGATCAGGTGCAGCCTCTGAGCACCCCAGCTGTTCTGTTGCCATGGCTACCTGGTAGGCCTGGGAGGACAGGAGGGAATGAGGGAACACTAGCTGGAGAGGGCTGGAGGCTCCAGGCCCAGCTCCAGCTGCCTTCTCTTACCCTCCATGCACAGCTGATGGCAGGAGAATGGTGGGTCTGACTGTTGGACTATAAATGAGTAGATAAACAAATAAGTAAAATTTGGCCATTCTATGAATAGAACAGATATCTTTGTAGGGGGTTGGTTGCCAAGACCCTAATTGTAAGAAGAGGTTGCTTTTGATGGAGAAAAATGCAATGGTGTTCTTCCTTCTTGTTCTTCAAAGTGAGGGGAATATAGTGCACACATGCACACTCTCACTCCAGAGCTTTATTATGCCTTGTGCAAGGTGGCTCTGCAGTGCCAGTGAAGGAAGGGAAGAAGATTTCATGAGAACAGTTAATGACTTCTAGTTTTAGAAACAATCAAAAGTAATTGCATGATTTAAACATTTACTAAGTTCAGGTGTTTTCAGCCTCTGCCTTGCTCTCCTGCTCTCTGACTGCCCTCACCAGGCCCACAGCTGCATGGCCTGTGCCTGTGAGCCAGGTAAGCTGGGGCTGCTACATGTCTTGGAGGACTCCCGCCCTAGAAGTCCCAGGATTCCTGTAGGAGGGCTATGAACATTCTATCCTTCAGGGGAAGGGAGTGCCCAGCCCTAGGAATCCTGGCAGCCAGACATTACTCAGCTAGTATGGTACAACAGATATGGTTGGGTCACCTGGACGTCCTGTGGGAGGCTGCCACCACTGCTATGGCCCCAGGTGGTGACGAGGGGTCTGCAGCACAGGCTCACTACACCTTGCTGCAGTTCTGTCATGCTGTGTGGAGCATGCACCCTGAGGTGGGCACTTCTTTGCAGTGAGTTATTTTCTGGAGCACCAAGTTAGGGCTTTCAGAATCCCCGGGGTTTCTTTTGGATAGACTGTGGTTCTGCTTTGTCACAGAGGGGTGATGTTGATCTATCAGGGAGCCCCACATGGGATCATAGGCCCAAGTGGGGAATGCAGGCCACAGAGAGGCCAGAGGATGTGGGGCTGGAGTTGCTTTGGCACGTGCAGCTGGCCTCCATGCTGTCTGATACTATAGGGTTGGGTGTGTGAGAGGTACGCATTATAAAGGGGAAACTCAAAAGGGGGAAGAGAATCTCCAAGAGCCAAGGAGTGAAAATCTCCGCAGTGCAGCTCTGATAGTCGGGAGGTCAAAGCCCTTGCTATGTGCAATCCTGATCACCTTCCAGTAAGGCATGGCCTCCTTGTAGTGCTTCCTAGTGCACTGCAGTGCTGGAGTCTCTGGGTCCCTGCACTAGCTGTGGCACAAATGAACTTTCTATGTCTGAGCCATCCTAGTTCTTGTAGCTTTTCTTCTGCATCCAGTGAGGAGCAGACATCCCAGCAGCAGTCCTGCCAGTTCCTCTGTCCTGCTGGGGACATCCTACTGTGGTCCTGACAGGCATTGCTGGTATGGATAGCTGGGATGCTGGAGAGCTGTGTGGGGCGACGTGAAGTCCTCAAGGGACTAGAGGGACACCCATCTGTACCAGCTACCTGTCCTGGATCCCTTCTCTGCTCTCATGATGATCCTGCTCTTGGTCCATCTTCAGGGTCTGCCTCCCACTGTCAGTGACTGTCTGCTTCCATCCTGGAGTGAGGACTGCCATCCCTGGTTGCTGATTGAGGATCCTCAATGTGGACCAGCTCCCTTGAGCAGTGACATCCCAGGTCCAGCTAAACTTGGTTTTGGGTACTGACACCAACATTTTGTAGCTGCAAGTCCTTGTACAAGCCGGCCTCTTCACAATTCAGATTTTCTGTGAAGTGGGATAACAAGGAGTGAGCTGCATATTGTACTGAGAGATGAGTGAGCTGCTTGTGAATCTCTTGTAAAGGTCCCTCTGAGTCTGAGTCCACATGTAGCGATGTCCAGGCTGAGGTGTGCTGGGCCGGGGCTAGTGTGTTGTGGGCTCAGAATCTGGTCTCTGGCAGGGTTGGGTCAGGAACCTGGAAGTCTATGGAGGTGGGCCGGTCTCTCCAAACTCCGGCTGGGCCAGAATCCCTTGACTCAAAACCGTGGCATCTCCCTCTAAGGGTGGGACCCCTCTTCCAGAGCAGATAGTGGTGATCAGGTGCCTAAAAACCAGGCAGTACCTATCCTCCCATACGCCTTGCTGAGCTAAGAACCCGGCCCCCGTGCTTCCTTCTACCTTCCTGGCTATGGCCGTGTCCCACCAAGCAGCCACCCGTTCTGCACCATATTTAAGCCCAGTAATTGAATTGCAATTGATAGTACATGTCAGTTTAAGATCATGCTAATTGCTTCATTTCCCAGAACACTCCTAAAAGGAAAATGAATTTCCCTGTAATACTTTGCAGTGAGGTGAAATGACCCTTGCGGAAGTCAATTTCAGCTCAAGAATGAGCTTCAGAGTAGGCGGGTGTGCTGGGGCAGGGGCCATAGCCACCCCTCCCCGCCTGTTTTGGCAAGCACAATTCCCCCAGCCTGGGCTTGAACCCAGCCCTGTGCCCAGTGCTTGGCATGACCAGTACCTGTGCTAGGTGACCAGATCTGGCTATAGAGGAACAGGTTCACCCAAGGTTTCACAGCAGCCAGGAAGATGCCACCCTTTGTAAGTGGCCGTCAGGAAAGAAAAAGGTGTCTGGGGTCTCACACCTGGCTGGAGGTGGGGCCATCCTTTCTGGGTGGCAGTCAAGAAAAACAAGGGTGTCCAGGCAGCAAACTCTGGTGTGTGTCCAGGTATCCCCATTTCTGAGAGGCTGGGAGGTCACAGGACCTTTGAACCCCTACTCCCTACTCTGGTGGATTCTGTGATCTCCTTCATGGTTGGTGCTAGGGATGAGGTGGAAGTGCACACTCTGCCCTCACCCCAGCCTAGGTGTACGGTCTGTAAGCAGTGTGGCCACATCCCTCACGATCATGATGGCCACTTTACTGAGTAAAAGGAGTTAGGAGGAGGTTCCACAAGAGTGGAGGAGGTGAAAATCCAGCATGACATGGGACCTCAGAGGCCTCGTAGCCGAAATTTTTGTTTGTCACCCTGTTCTCTACCATAGCTTCATGGAGCCACTCAGTGATTGGATAGCATCAGAGCTACCACCTTCCTGCTCACTCTCCACCCACCCACTCATCTTCCATCTATCTTCTCATCTTCCATCCACCTATCCACTGCACAGCCTCTGTCTACCTGCTTACCTTCTACCTACTTGCTCATCTGCTACTTGTCCTCCTCACTGTCCATCCTTTGCCAGCCATGCACCCTCCTACCATCCTCTCCATCCTACTCCCTCCTGGTTTGCTGAGCAGCACCTGTGTGTTGGCCCTTGCTAGGTGCTGGTTTACAGAGAGAGGGAGGTAGGGCCCTCTGTCAGGCAGCCCCCCAGGTAGTGGAGGATGGGGTACCTACAGGAGTGGTGGCCCTGCAGGTAGTGTGGACAGAATGTTTGAATGTTCTGCCCTGTTCTGCCCTCCAGTCTCTCCCTGTCAGGTCTCTATGTTTGGGACACTGTCCTAAGCTTGGCTGTGAATATCTGTGAATATCAGGGCCATACGGAGCTGTTGGCTGTGGGCTGCTTGGAAAACCTAGGCTTTGACCTGGAGGGAAGAGGCTGACCCTGCTCTGTCTCTCACCTTTTTCTGGCTCCATACTTCCTCCTCTAACAGGAAGGGGCCACAGTTGGTCACTAGAGGCAGTCTGGGTCTGGGCTCTTTCCACACAGGGGACCCTCATTGTCTCTGCACCTCTAGCTCTGCTCCAAAAGCATCCTGTCCTGTTTCTCCAGAGTGACTTGAGAATGTGAATCACATCATCAAAGACTTAGCCTCCATGGTGTCAGAGCAAGATGTCACCAGTGGGTTCCTGCCCCACCCTCAGACCATCCCCATGCACTAGGTGTGGGTAGAGATGAGTGAGGCCCAAGGTGGGATCTGGGCCTGGCCAGTGCTCCCCTCCTTCCCTCCTCAGGCTCAAGCCCAGGCCTTATACCTGCCTAGGAACTCTCCAGAGAGAAGACTTACCTGCGTGGGGGCAGATGCAGCTACAGCATTGGGGATTTGGAGGCAAGGCCCCTTGCCTCTCTGCTTCTGCCACCCAAAGCTGTGGGCCTCAAGCTACCCTGTACGCTTTAGAAACAGGCATGGGGCAGGGAGTGGGTCCCTGTAGGCCTGGCCAAGGCACAGTATCCCAAACTGTCCCCTAGCTCCAGAGAAACTGGACACCTGGATGGCCTTGTCTCCAGGCCACTCTGTTCTTTGGAACTAAGTATGGGGAGGCTGAGAGCCCAGGGAGGCTGAGAGCCCAGGCAGTCTGTCCCTTGGTGTGGGGCTCCTGGCAGGAAAGGCCAGTGAGGACCTGGGCGTGGTGGAATGGACCCAGGCAGCCCTACCTGGTCTGTCTGAGGGCATGGCTGAGCTGGGCAGTGAGCAGTTGGGACAAGGCATCTGATGCGTGTGGAGCAGGGAGGCTGAGGTTCATGTTGCAGTGTCCTCACCCACTGTGAGAGAGGGACCTTCCTCAGCAGTGGGACACAAGCCAGAGTAACCGGTAAGCCCGGCCCAAGGCCGCCAGTTCTCCAGCCCTGGTCAGACCTGGTGTGCCTTGGTCACCCGTTGTGAGGACTGTGGAGAAGGGGCAGGCCCAGCCCTGCCTCCACCTGTCAGTAGGTCATCTGTGCGCTTCCTAAGAGGGCTTCCCCTCATCTTTCCCTGATGCCCAGAAGCTCTGGTCCCAAGAAATGGCCCTCCACATTTTGTCAACGAGGAGAAAGATGTTTTTAAAACCTTCTTGCTTTTGTTGGAACCCTGCCTACCAGTTAAGTCCATACAATTTAAAAGTGAAGCAGCCACTGAGTGCTGCTTTCTATGAGGGCTGACTCTAGTTCTGACTGCACATGCTGCAGCCTCCTGCCTGGCTCAGAGCCCAGGGAACACCAGAAGCACTGGGGCCATCTACCCAGTGTGGCCCCTCGGAGGCCCTGTCTGTGCTGCCCCTGGCCTGCTGTAGGGCAGGGTGTATAGGCAAGCTTTGAGGGACTCAGTGGCACATGGCCCATCCCTATGCACCATGAGAGTCCCAAGTGCTGGCTGAGCTAGCAGGGCAAGACCTCATGGCTCGCTGCATTGGGCCCTGGGATGCACAGCAGAGGACAAGCAGGCTGGCTTTGGATGTGCAGAGCCCTTAGCCAGTAGAGTCAGCACCCAGGGCCCAGAGGCCTCCACCTACCCACTTGCTTCTCATCTGTCCTGGCCACACCGTGCCTCGTTTGGGTCTGTTTCTGGCAATGACCACCCACCTTTAGCTCTGAGGGCCGAGTGTCATGAACCAAGCAGTCAGCTGGCATCCTTCTCTGGGGCTCTGCCCCCCAGGTAGGGGAGACCTGTGCCAGGAGCCTGATGGAGGCAGCTGTGTCTCATCCCGCCTACCCACGCTCTGAAGGGGAGGCTCCTAGCTGCCTGCTTCATAGCCCCACATAGTGCTTCCTTGGCTTCCTCATCCCCTATCGTGGCCCCTTCCCCAGGACTTGCCCTGTCTCCTCATCCTCCTGCCTGCGGGCTTACCATCTGCTTCGACCGTGAGGACTGCAAACATTGGGCTGGCAGTCAAGGCTGGGATGTGTAGTGTGCCCAATAACTTTTCCACCCCACATGCCTCTCAGTCCCCATGATGGACTGACCTGGGCCATCTCCTGATGGGCAGGATGTCCTGCAGGAAAGGGAAGGACAAGCCCGGACTGACGTGCACACTGGCAGGGGTGGCACCTAGCAGGCAGGCCAGCAGGAACTCCAAGGGTGGTCATGACCTTAGGACCCCCAGGGAGTACCTATGGGCCACTTGTGGTAAGAGCACTGATGTGGGGACCTGTGAGGACCAGGGCCATGGGCCTGTGCACTTGGTTCCTCACGTACTTTCTGGTGTCTCTCCAGGATCCAGCATTAGGAAGCCACATGCCCACAGAGCTCCAGCCCTGAGCTGGTGGAGGTGGGCCTGCTGTAGGGTATGGGGCAGGCTCCACATCCCTGTGGCCGGGGGACCACTCTCACACCAAGACAGGAAAGCCCAACTTCAGCCCCCAGGAGACAGAGTGCTCTTGTAGAGGTTGGCTCACCACTGCTTATGCTATTTGGAGCACAATGGGCCATGTCTTCCCACAAGCACCACATGTGGAGCCACATCCTGCAGCCTGTGAACACACTGGCTACTGCTGTTGTGACCTAGGTGACCTCAAACACAAGTGGAGGAACGTGCAGGACACTGTGTGCAAGAAGCTGGTGGAGAGCCTGGCCCCTGCCTTCATCGTCACACCTGTGGAGTGCATGGTAGCCGAGACCTTTCCATCTCACCCCCTCCAAGATGAGGGCCAGGCAGCTGAGCCCCTGCCAGGTAAGTGGCCCTCCTCACAGTGTGCCTCCTATGCCTTCCCTGCCCAGGACCCAGGAGAGCCAGTGCATTGGCCACCCAAGCCCCCTGTGCTGGCTGGCTTTCAGTATATGGCCCCCCAAGAGTGAAACTCCAAGACAGGGTGAGGGGCCTATGAAGACAGCTCATTACCCTCCTGAGCCCTCTCTGCTTCTAGATGAGGAAACTGAGGCTGGGACCCAGGAAGGGCCTGTCTTTGGAGAGAAGAAGTCAGGGTTCAAAGCCAGGTTCATCTTGCCATTGAGCTTAGGGTCCTTCTGGGGTTGCCAGCCATGGTACAGTGCAGCCAGAGGACCTCCAGATCCCTATGGACCCTTGTGTTGGTCATAAGAGCTGAATCCTGGAGGCCAGTGCCGATTCCATAGCATTGGCACTGGTTGTTTAGACTTGAGGGGCTCAGAGGTCCCATCAAGGCAGCCACAACAAGCATGCCCAGAGTACAGCACTGGGATGCCCCTGTCCTCTCTAGATAGGATGCTGGGATCCCACATCCATGTCACTGTGGAGGCCTGAGAACTGTAATGTTGAAAGTACAGCTTGCAGGGCCTAGGAATTCTGACCTTACAACTGGGCGAGGTACAGAGATAAGGGCAGAGGCTGCTAGATTCAGAGTCCTGAGATGAGCAGGGTAGGGCCCTTGCCAAGACACATCCTGACTTCTGTTGTTTGCCAGCTGCTGAAGTGTGGCCAGGAAGCCTGTCCTGTCCCAGCCTCGGCCTGGCCATCTTGTCCATTCACCCCTCTTATGAGCACACTTATGACACAGAGCTCAGGGAACAGCTGTCGGAGGCCTTAACCACCAGCAAGTCCCAGCAGGGTGAGGACCACTTTCCCAGGTAGGGCAGCAGTCTGGATGAAGATATGACTGTGTCTGGGAGGGAGGAGGACTTCCCTTCTCTCTTCCTCTGGACCTAGCCCTAGAACAGAGAGAGCGTGGGGTATAGCTGTATCAGAAGGCAAGACCACAGAGCTGGTCTTCTCCATGGCTTGGTACAAGGAGTGACCTGCAGATTGATCATCACCACTGTGGAATTTGGACAGAGCCAGGGAAACATCCAGGCCCAGCACCTCCCACTGCCCCACCCCAACATCTATCTGGACTTGGTGGGAGCAGGGTAACCATACCCTCTGCAGGCCCTTCCTAGGCATACTCTTGCAGTCCACAGCCTCCAAGACTTGCTGTCCTCTGTAGGCCCACAGAGGAACCACCTTTGCCCAAAGTTCTATTTTTGGCTGGGTATCTGCTGCAGTCTGAAGTGCCTCAACCCTTGTATGGTGCTGGCTGAGATACCTGACACTGCCTCCTTCTCTTAGGCTTCTCTCCTCCTTACTCCTTGGCCTCAAAGCCAAGCTGAACTTCTCCCCAAAAGCTACAGGAAAGGTACTGGGTAAAACCCTAGGAGTAGGGCCAGCTCCCTCATGAGGGTCCCATATGGACAAGTGGATGTCTTGGTAGAACTTGGAGCCCTGGCACTATAACTGCTCCATTTCTACCATGGTGCCTGTGGCCAGGACATATGGGTACAGGACTCACCTGGGCACTGACCTTGGCCTGTGTACTGATCTAGCGGTCAGGCCAGGGTAAGAGGAGGACTTGTAGGTCTTGGTAGTCAGGCCTGAAGTCCAGGGACTTTGCTATGGCCTATCATCAGAGCAAGGCCCTTCACTTGGGGTTCTGGGATGAGGCAGCCTGGTTTAGGGGCCTCAAGTGAGGATGGGAACGTAGTATGGGGCTGACAGGATGGTGAAGGATGGCACTGGTGTGGCTTGTATTTCTGAGCCTTTCCTGCAAATATCCTGCCAGAGGGGTAGCAGAACATGGGAGTGCTACCCATAGTTATTTGCCCTAGAGTGAGGCTGGCCCATGCTTCCTTGACCCTGGTGGATCTGCTCCAGCCCCAGGGCCCTCAGCCTAGGCTCACCTTCCTCCATCAGGGTACCTATGTGAGTCCCTCCTGGGGGTAAAGACAGCCAGTTGGCCATTCACTGGGTTTCTCTGGTGATCCCTGTGTGCTGAGGCTGCTGAGAGACACACTTCCTGTGGGGTGGCTCCTGCTTGGCCTGTATCTGGGGCAGGCAATGTTCTTTGATCCTTGGGAGCTAACACTGCCATGGGTGTTTCGGAGGCCCTTGTAGGCAACTCCCATGTCAGCTCCCCTGTGCCAGGACACAAGGGTGTGCCCAGGGCTGTGGATGTGCAGGCTGACTCCACAGACCTAGAATTTACAGACAGGGGAGGGGCACTGGCCCAGGATGACAAGCTGACAGAGTGCCACCTGGTTTCCTCTCTATACAGCTCCAAGGACACCCCTTCTCCTGCTGGCAGGACAGTGCATGCCTACCAGGCAGTCCTCAAGGCTAAAGTGGGTGCTGGTTGAAAAGCTGGACTCTCTGGTTGTCTGATATCCTCGCTGCAGGATTGTGTGTGAATTTGGAGGGCACTGTGGCCAGCTGAGGTCACCCATGACCTGCACATGACCTGCAGCCTGTGCCCAAAGCACTGGGAGCCTGGATTCCACCTTGCTAAGGGTGGGCCTTGGCCAGGGGCCACACCTCTAGGGAGTGTGAAAGGGGCAGAATTGGGACTCAGAGGTATTCCCAGGGTCAGGACTTGGTGTAGACCAGCATCAGGCTTTGTCCAAGTCCAGGGGTAGGGTCTGGGCTACGATCTAGGCCCGTGGTGGCAAACCTTTTAGAGCTTTCAGTGATACAAGCAGCCCTCTGCGGCATGCATGCCATAGGTTCCCCACCACTGGTCTAGCCTGTATGTGGATTAAGGCCAAGCAAGGACTGGGTTAGGGAGTGTGGGCTCCCCAGTGCTGCCTATGCTGACCTAGGCGGCCACAGCCTTCGTGTGGTGACATGCACCCACAGTCATCTGTGCCACCTCTCTCCATGATAGGTATATGGCAGGTCTGCTGTCACGGGTCTGTAGGGTACACAGCAGTGGGCAGGCCTCTCTCCCCCACTCTGTCAACCCCAGGCTGTGGGCATATGAATCTCAAGTCCCATCCTTCTCTCTACTGCTCTGGCTGGCCTCAATGTGACACAACTCTGAGGGGGTGCCACTAGCCCTCTGTTCTCATGAGTAGAGGAACATTGCTGTACCCCCAGCAGGGCTGAGACCATCACCACTCCTTCCCCTCCCCACGGGCACTTGCTGTAAGGGGGCTGGCCTCCCTCCGGGATATAGCGGTTGGGCCCCACTGGCTGGGTAAAGTGGAGCAACGTGAGTGACCAAGGTTCCATGGGTCTGTGCAAGCCCTGAGCACTGCTCAAAGGCAGGATTTGTGGCTTTCCATCCTGGGGTCTAGAGATGGGGCCACATTACCCTGATCAGAGCAGGAGTCCCACCTGGCAGGGTAGAGAGCAGCTCCCCTCAGAGGGAATCCTGCGGGCCTGGAGGTGGTGCTGGTCGTGGGAAGTAGTGCCCCACAGTTGGGACAGCCTCTCTGTCTCCAGTTTCGGCCTCCAGAGGCTGGCTTGGGCCTTGGTGGGCACTGCGGGTGGAAGATTTGGAGAAGGCCCCTCACTGAGGAGCACACCCAGGCCCTCCGCCCTGCTGTCCTGACTGACCATAGCCACACAAGGGAGAACCTCAGGCGGCTCCTAGAGCCCCATCTGTGTGCCCTCTGTCCCTCTAGAGACTGGACCTCCCTCAAAGCCGTCGTGGGAGTGACCTCAGGAACCCCATGGGAGTAGAGACAAGTAGGTTGCCTGTTTCCTCAGCCACCTGGGCTGGGGTTCCCCTAGGGCTGCTTCAGGGGTGGCCTCTGGGCACACAGTGCATCTCCACTCCAATTGCCTGCTGTTGTCTTGATTGCAGATGTGGAGGCAGCCAGAGAGCTCCTGATGGGCACCAGGTCCTGTGAGGGCGAGAATGCCCGGCCCAATATCCTTTTTCCCTTTGTCCTTCACCTCTCTGGGAGGCCAGGCAGAAAGGCATGCCCATGGGGTCTTTTCTGAGCCTGGCCACTGGCTCAAGTCTGGGTGGGGAGGGGAAGAGAGGGGCCTGCACTAAGGTCTGCGTGGTGCCTGTGTGTGGTGATTGGCACCTTGTCCAGTCTTCTCTGGACTCCATGCTACCTTCTCTCTTGGGTTCCTTACCCACTGGGGCTATGAGACAGGCAGCGAGGTTTCCCCAGCTGGCACAGAGGAGGCTGGCTGGCAGGGAACAGGGCAGAGGGCAGGTCTCCCCACAAAGGAGTGACTTGGCTATGTGTCTGAGGAGACAAGTGCACTATGGCCCACTCTGGCTGTGCTGCCCCAGTGATGCCCTGGGGGCCATTTGTCTTGGAGGGTTGGCCAGTTCCGCCAGGCTCTGCCCTTGCACCAGGGCTCAGTGGGCTTCCTGCTGCCTCCCATGTCGCCGTACAGCTCTGCGCCTGCTCTTAGGTTGGGGATGGGTTCCCTGCGCTCAGAGAAGTAGGTGAGTTTTAGGGAGGGAGAGCAGACCTGTGTGAAGGGGACTCAGAGGAGACTTGAGAACCCCTTTGAGATTTTTGCTGATCTTCAGTCACTATGAGGAGCCTGACAGGACACTGGCTGGCTTGGGGACTGAGTCCAGCAGAGAGAAGACCCAGTAGTGTTGTCCCCTTGTGGTCACACCCACTGTGTGTGGACTGTGCTCTATGCTGGCCTTGACCAAGCAGTTTGTCCCTTGAGAAGCCTGTGTCCCTGAGCCAGGCCAGGTAGACATCCATTCCAGTGGGCTGAGGGTGGTAGGGTACCATGGGTGTTCAGAGAGGCCCCGAGGCAGCTTGGGTGGGTGTACTTCCTGGGAGAGGCCACAAGGCACAGATGGCAAGGCCAGAGGAGGAACTACAGACCAGCTCCGGTGTGGACAGTTATGTGGGGCTGTAATGGCATAGAGATGGCTGCAAGGCCCTCGTTCCCCTGGGGGACTTTGGGAAATCAGTTTTGTGCTTAGAAAGTGTCCTCAGTTGCCTTGGGGTAGGTGGAAG